CGAAATATACTTAAAATACTCATAAAAATACCTAAAATACTCCGAAATATACCTAAAATATTCCGCAAGATACCTAAAATACTCCGAAAATACTTTAAAAATACTCAGAAAGATATGTGAGCTACTCAGAAAAATACCATAAAAAAACCTCGAAATATGCTTAAAATACTCCGAAAAATACCTTTAAAAATTCCGAAAATACCTAAAAAAAACTTCGAAAGATACCTAACATACTCCGAAATATACCTAAAATATTGGGAAAGATACCTCAAATACTCCGAAATATAACTGAAATAGGCAGATAGATTCCTAATAAATATACTCCGAAAGAACCCGAAAATACTGCGAAAGATCCCGAAGATACGCCGAAAGATACGGAAACTACTTCAAAAAATCCAGAAAATATTTCAAAAGAACCCGAAAATACTGCGAAAGATTCCGAAAAAATTCCAAAAGGTTCCAAAAGATTCCAACATACTCCAAAAGATCTCAAAAATACTGCGAAAGATCCGAATTACCCGAAATAAAATTGGCATTCATTTGCGTATGCATATGCACTGAGTTTTCTTTTCGGGCATGTTAGAAAACTTAATTATTCCTATGTATGTATGTATATAAACTACACCCATACGAATACTACATCCGCACTGGTATGTAGTGTACATACATACATTCACGCGCACTTCAAATTGACCCACAAGGCAGACAGAAACATATTTTGTTTTAATCGAGTCATGCTGCATACAAAAACAAACATCCATACATACATACATAGAGATGCAATGCCTATAAAATAATAAAATTAACTTCAATTTCATTATAAACATAAAAGCATGCAGCGTTTCATTACAGAGTACATTGCATTGGAGAGTTACGTTTATGGTCATACATAAATAGTATGTAAATATGCATTTACATTGTACATATGTATATGTAAGCATACACATATACGTGCATGCATTATAACAAAGGTATTAACAAAATCGTGTTGAGAAAATTATTCGTTTTTCATTAGCACAGAATCAACTAAAACATGACTAACGTTCGGAACGAGTTACATAGGCGAAGTATTACCAACAAACAAAAGTCAAAACAAAAAGGCGTGGCGGGTCAGTTTTTGATGGAATTTTTGTATGATAGTTGAAAAAAGTTTATTAGCCGATTACAAAATTGACCAACAGAGTGGAGTGGTAGATACACAAACATATTGAATGCAAGTAAGTATCTACTACATATGCACAATCGTGAGCTTTACGGGTTCAACTGGGTGGCAAGGAATGATTTGAAAAAGTGTTTTTTGTTTTTTTAAGTAATTATCGTTTTTTGTTTGTTACCTGTAGTTTACAGAAAAATCTTTTTATAGGGCGGCAAAGCATTTGTGAACGAAAAAAATGCATCTCAGCCATTGCATAAAGCACTTGAAAAACGACTGTGCATTCAAGTGAAAACCGCCTTAGCACTTGCCCCTTTTTTGTTTATTTTTAGTAAAACAAAATAAAACTCTAACCACAAATTTCCTTTTTGTTTCTTGCTTGTTACCATTATTTTGCTATTTTTAGCCATGCATACCTTTTTTTCGCTTTTTGTTACCAAACACTCAACAAAAGCTCACTCAATCGGGGATCAGTAGGACGCGCTGTGTAACAGGTGTGACAGTTATATGGTAAAACATTTAGACACATAAAATTACACACAAATGAAAACAAGAAATATGTACATCCAAACACCGCAGGGGTGATAAAAAGGCAGTCGCCAGTAGCGGTTGTGCTACTCAATGAAACAATATCTGCTTGTGTTTGCTGCCCACATGCTCGTCATTCAAGTTGCAATTGGCCGGCAGGAAATATTGTAAATGAGCAGAAGACACTACATTTTGTTGTTATTGTAGTCTTGTTTCACTTAAAACACCCTTAATACAATAAAAGGTGGTCGGGTCGGTCGGTTGGTCGGTCTATTTCAATTTTCGACACAATTGAAAGCGTCTAAAGGTAAGCGAGTGAGTGAAGCCATACAGCCATACAGCCATACAGTCGGTATGATAAATGGGCTAACGCCAAATGCAAAGATACAAAAAAAAAAATCAGTAAATGCATACAAGCCGACTAACTTTGAATACTGACTTATTGTAATTATAGACAAGTAGGTATTATATACAAGTACAAGTAACTACTTTTTTATTTAGACACACTTTTTGTATGGGAATTGTGGGACAACGCAAATTACAAAAGTAGCGCAAAGTGGTCTTAATTTACCGCAACAAAGAGATACTCGAATAAGGCAATACATAGATATCAAATTACAAAAGAAAAGCTTTGAGTGTACCTTTTTTTCAAACAGATGTGGCAAACTATTAAGGAAGAGCACTGTGATTTTAAAGATAGATCTTAAAAAACCAGCTGGGACATGAATATGAATACGGATATGAATATGAATTGATATCAATATAAATATGAATATGAGAACACTCTGAAAAGTCCCCAAAATACTCCGAAAAGTCATAAAAAGCTTCGAAGATACTACGGAATTTTCCGAAACTATTCCGGAGGGTACCTAAAATACTGCGAAAGGTCCCAAAAATACTCCTAACTGCCCCGAAAATGCTTCGAAAGCTTTCGAAAATACGAGATATTACGAAAATACTCTTAAAGGTTACAAAAATACTCCGAAATGATACGAAAATACTCCGAAATGTTGCGAAAATACTCCGAAAGGTTATGAAAATATTCCGAAAAGTTACGAAGACTCTCCGAAAGGTTATGAAAATACTTCGGAAAGTAACGAAGATACTCCGAAAGGTTAAGAAAATACTCCGCAAAGTTACGAAAATGCTCCGCAAGGTAACGAAAACCCTCTGAGAGGTTACGAAAATACTTCTAAAAGTTAAGAAAATACTCCGAAAGGGCACAAAATACACCTTAAAAACATCCCGTAAAAACTCCGATAAATTCGAATGCTACAAAAATCCAAAGTCTTGAAAAAAATTTAAAATCCTTAAATTCAGAAAATTTTCAATAAAAACAAAGATCCCAAAAAGTTAATTCGAAAAGTAAAGCATGAAGAAACCCGCAACTTCCCAAACAAAACCCTCAACGTTCCAAAAAAAAAAATCTGAGAAACTATATCTCGGAAAACTCCGAAAATCACGAATTTTTAAGCATAAAATAAAACCGACGTAAATTCTCATATAAAATCTTGAAAGTACCGTTAATTTCTTCATGATCCAATGATCAGATCTAACCAAATCGCAAATTAGTATGCGACCACCTCTGAGGTACCACTTTTCCTTTAAAAAAAAAAGAAAAGAATTATAACCTCTTCCTTTTTTGGAGTCGGTTTAAAAATGGTTGTCAGAGCTTGTTTAAAGTAAGTAATTGAAGCATACGAAATCGCTTGAAATTATAGGTTCGTAGAAAAGTACTGAAAGTTGTCATGAAACTGGAGACTATTTACGGCTTAGGCTAGAACTTTTTTTTTTATAAATTTGAAAATAAATCACTTTTCTTATTCAGGCAAGTAAGTATTTGAATGTATCTGCTAATCGAGACAATGACATTTGACCCCATAGAAAAAAAAATCAAAATCGACATTCGAAACTTAAGCTATGACATGTTAGCAAATGTGAATTTCTTATATCTTGGTAAGTGCAAAATAAAATAAAACATTTGGCGCAACAACGGAACTTGAATGCTACGTAGACAACTTCAGGCTAAATAAAAACATGGCAAATGCTCTCTCAACGGCCTTATTGATTTTCGCGCATAACGCTGTCATCAACCAGCCAAAACGCAGGAGCTGAGTTAGCTTACCAACTCATATTTAATCAATATTTGCTGCTACTGTATATGTATGTTGTAGGAGAAAAGAAAAAAGTGCTTAACAAATGTGAGGAATACAGACGACAAGAGTGGCCTACTACAAGGGTTAATGTTCTAGTTTCAGCCACTGCCAATCGAAGTGCACTGGGAGGTAAAGAATAAATGAGTAAAGTTGTGCGGAAAATACTGCGACTTGAACTCGAATAACTCAAAGTGTAAGTCATCAAAGCAACAAGCTGGAAAATGAGTAAACAAATTAGCGTGCAAAACTGGAAACAAGTACATGTGTAAAATATGTATAAGTATGTTAATGTGTGTATGTATGCCTAAAGGCAAATATTGACAGAGCAATTTGGAATGTAACTAGCTCTCTCATAATAATATTGCCAGCCAAAAGTAATTTTTCTTTTTTTTACTTTATGTACATAAGTAAGTGTATCTAATTTTGCCGATACATACAGATGAATGAGCTAATTAGCTTTATATAAAATATGCGAAAGGGCAAAGCGCTTTGAGGAACTGAATCAACAGTACCCTGTATGACATTTTCTGTTTTTTTTTTCTGGGCAATTGATGAATCCAAATTTTTCTGTTTCTGGATTGTATATAGAAAAGTAATTTCACAGTTTTCCCACGTAGGCGTTTGTTTTTTTTAATTTAAATATTTATTTTTAATATTTAAATATTTATACCACTAAAAGGCCTCTCTAGGGTTTGGGATCGGAGGAATCTGAATTTGCAATATATTTTTAACAAAAACGGCCGCTGGGTGCTCTATGATGCAAAAAAAAATGTTTCTCAACAATGTTTCTAAACAACGGTTTTTCATGTGTTTTTTTTTTTTGCAGACAAAGAGCACCCGGCGGCCGGTTTTGGTAAAACTGAATTCCTCGCACCCAAACGCCCCATAAGGGCCTTTTGATGGGCCGGTGAATGGATCTAAGAGAGATTTTCACTTGTTTTTCTTTACCCCCGGGATAAGCTCCCAAGATACAGAGCTGATTTTCCATCAACGCATCCTCTACAAGGATGGACTGCAAATTATTTTGGTAGTCGACAAAGGTCAGACAATTTTCGATATCAAAGATTCAAGCAACAGAAGTTTAAGCAAGGGTTCTCAGAGGTTGGGAGTCTTAGTGATCTAAGAACTGACCTCTCTTACCTCCTCACAGCAAGAACCTTTACCCATTATGTTAAAAAATTAACGGATGTCCTCTTCAAGCTACCACTCTCTATAACTCGATGCACTTGATGGGCAAAAGCCAAAGAAGTGTTGTTGGCAACATGGAAAGTGCGACCGTTCCTCAACTATGCTGCACAAATATGTTCGTCGGGTGCAAGTAGGAAGCAGAGGTTGAAGTTTCAGACCTGCTAGAACTCTGTATTCCGACTAAAGTTTCTGTTTCTCTTGAACACAATTTTCACAGCTTCCGAACCGGCATCTAATTGAGGCTTAAATAGTCACCTTCTGGATGTTATATCAGCTGAAACTATCATTTCTCTATAATAGACTCGGACATATCCAAAACCTCTTGAGTCGGTGAAGGAACGCATCTCAAACACAACCCAAATCAATTGAGAATTTCCTAAGTCAAAATAAACTAATTAAACATTTAATTTAAATGCATCTGTGTCATTCTGAATTCAATGCGGAACTTTCCTTTCCTTCGCTAATTAAAATTTTATTATCTTTGCCCCAAAAAAAAAAAATTACACTCTCACACTTTCGCTGCAACACTCGCATACGTCAGCCCAAAGGTTTAGTGAACTCGCCGCAGCGTCCGTATACTCTTCTGCATTCTACATACAAAATGCCAGCCAAACTTTAATTGACCATTAGAAGAAATTTTCGCATGACTGTCGATAAAAAAACGGAAGAATGCACTCTAAAAAGCTTGTGAAACAAAAGTCAAAGCAAAAAAAAAAAAAATAAAAAATAACAACAGTCATATTCCAATTCGCGTTCAACAAGTTCATTGACATCGAACGCACAAGTCACCGCAAGTCCACCACGCGCCTCCGCCATCACCCGTGCCACCACATTTTTCCGCTGCCGGTTGCTTGTTGCCGCCGGTCGTCAGTTGCCCCTTGCACTACATCCCAACAGGCCAATTGCATATTAGTGCGCTGGCTGCTTGGCATAATTGCACGGCATCCACTTAGGGCACCGAGTAGCTGGGCTCTGCATGCATATGGGCATTCATTAAAGGCCACAACGCAGCAGCAGCTAAGCCCAGCAGCCCATAAATGCTCCCCCATATAAGCACAGCAGCTGCGGCGTAGCAGTGCGTTCGCAAACATACTGGAATTGGAATTGAAATAATTATGAAAGTGGCAGCGAGTCGTCAACGATGCAGCGAAAAGCGAATGCGCAGTAAAAATAAAAGCAGCCCACCAGCCAGCCAGCCTGCCAGCCTACCAGTTGACCGCGTATCGAGCACCGGGGGCCACCAACCACCAAGCTTCCGATGCGGACGCAGCAAACAGCCGCCAAGCCGGTGGGTGGTTAGGCGAGTCCACGAGTGTGTTCGTGAGTGTTGTTGAGGCGCAGAGAAATGCCAAAGGCAATTAAAAGCGCAGTGAGCAAAAGAAGTGTTAAAAAAAAAAATGTGGAAGCAAACTTCGCTTTGTTTAACAACAAATGTTTACCTTATTGCATGACATTGCATGCAACACCAAAATAGAAACAACAGCGAGCAAAAAAAAAAAACAAAGCAATGGCAAGGAAAAAATTGTAAATATCTCCAGCCGAAGCGCAAGTTCAACGCTTCAAAAGTAGCGTTGCTACCTCAGTAAATGGGTGTGTGCCGCACCCAACTTTGTGGCAAGCGGCATGAAGTCTACCTCAGTCGGCAGTAGGCACATGCACATGCTCCAGCGCACAGCGTAGAAACTTCCGGTCGGCGGAAAGATGACAACTTCATCGGACAGCGGATTCAAATAATTGACATGTCTCACTGCCACGGCAATGCTGCAACAAATGGCAAAAAAAAAACAAACAAGCAACAACAACAAAGCCAAAAAAAAAAGTGCAGAAAAGAAAAATTGATGTACGCATTGAGTATTGTAGATATGTAATAAATTGACTGCCAACTGGGAGATAATTTCTGTCCATGCAGCAAATAAGTAGATAAGTGTCGAGCAAACACTGATAATGCAACAAAGATAAGTTTTTTTTATTTTATGCTGTGTGGCACTGCTCCAGTTTAAAGTGGTGTAGTGGTGTGCGGGGTGCTGCCGGCGGTTACGACAAGCAGCAGAATGACCACACGCACGCATGCGTCATTAACATCCGGTTAGCGCAAGTACATACAGCCGGCTGGCTAATAAGCAGTTACACCGAATGACTGGTGAGTGGCATTGAATTGGTGTTGCCATGCACTTTCATTCACTTTAAATAACTGCAGGCAATTTGACAATTCCCTTCTCGAATTACGTTGAACGAAAATTACTGGCAGCAATTTGAATGTCATCTTTTGTGAAGTTGACTTATATGTATAGTGTAGCGATGGTGTAATGGACGTGGACGTACGATATCTTTGATTTGTATTTTAGATTGGCTCTGCGCTTTGCAATTTTGGCAACTGTCTTTCCACTCACCACAGTCGTCTATTCTGGCAACTATCTTGAAAGCTCTTTACGAGGAGGCCTTAAAGTTTTGCTGTTCGCCTTTTTGTAATAAATTTTTAAAAATTAAATTCAATTTAAAAATTATATCTACATTTTTTTAAAAAAAAAAAAAATTAATTAATAAGTAAAAATAAATAAATTAATAAGTAAAAAAAAAATAATAATTAATAAATAAAACAAAATTAATTAGAAAAAGAAAAAAGTTAAATCACAAAGGAATGGTACTCAAAAATTAAATTAGATACAAATTTATATTTATTTAAAAAAAGACAAAAAAAAACATTAAAAAAATGGAATAAGATCCTAAAAATTAGAAATTAAATTAACAAAATAATACCGAATTAAATAGGAAAAAAGAAAAAAATAAATGAAACTAAAAAAAAACAATTTTTCTTTTATACACAATAAATTCTAAAAGATTTAAAGAAAATTTTACTAACAAAATTAAATAAAAATTTATGTGAAAATGAAAAAAAAATGTATTCTTAAAAATTAAACGAAATAAAAAATACTATTTTTAAAACAATAACAACCAAACCATTAAAGAAAATGAACTACAAAAATTTTATTGAAAAAGAAAAAATAAATAAAATTAGTATAGTATTTAGTTTATAAAAATTAAATTAAATTAAGAAAATATATACATATATGTCTTTTTAAAAAGCAGGAATTGCAAAAGTTTAATTAAAGAAGAAAATGTAGATTAAAAACGGAAAAAGAAATTTCGCTGAGCCATGACTCGAACTCGGATCTCTCGATTGGCACGCCTATGCCTTACCCACTCGGCCATTGCGACTGTTGGAGCGATGCGAGCTAAGTAATAGACAAGTGCTCTCTCTCGAAATAGCTTTTCGCCACGAGTTGTGAATGAAAGAGCTTTTTTTCTAAGACTTTTGTGCTAGAATAAAAAGTCTTTCGAGCTATCTTGCCATCTGTCTTTCATTTGTCTTACGAACGACTTTTTGCTATCTTTAGCAGAATTTCCCAGTAAGGCCTTTAAGTTAGCTGCAGGTCGCCAGACTAATAGCATTTTCTTTCCTACAAAAAAATGTTGCCTTTTTCTGGTATTTGCGCGCAGAGGACAATGAGAAGGCAATATTTTTTGATAAAAAAGAAAATGCCATAAAAGTTCGAAGCTATCGACATACATATAGAAAAGGACAGTAATATCCAAGGAAAGAATTTAAGTTTGGAAAAAAATAGGAGATAACTCACTCCGTAAAGCAAGTGCAAAGATGATATTCATGCCTATTAATCCGATTCGCACTGTCATAACAGATATCGTACTAGGCATGTATGTATATCTCGTTGTCTTCCAAGCAGCAGTCAAACTATGGATTTTACGTTACATTGACCCAAAACCCAAAAGGTTCCGAAAGTGAGAGACCCAACCATTTTTAAATGTGTAGGTTTAGGAGTAATCGTCTGACTTTTTTTTTTTACTATCACCATTTCCACGGACACTGGGGCGGTCATTATGGCCCCGACGGCGTTTACAACAAAGTTTGTTGAGTAGTGCAAACTGTTTGAATGGAGTTAGAAGTCAGTAAGAAATAGGTTTAGTTGGAGTCGCTACACATCCCAATAATCTTGGATTAGGCAGGGAGGATTTCACATTGACCTCCATCGAGGACCTGATCTTACCCCTAGCCGGAACTAAGTATTTACAGGAAAATATGTGTCCACCTTCTTAACAAATCATTGCAAGTTGCAAGAATGAAACCGAACAGGTAGAGCATCTTTTTTCGTCTTTATATGGAGTACATATATATAAATACCTTATTAGAAGCATATGACTTCACATAGTGGAAAGATCTGTCCGATATAAGGATATAAGCCTGCACAATATACTTGATTCTATCAACCACGCTGGCAGACGCAGGAAGCATACCGTCACTTTAGGCTATGTCCAGGGCGCTTCGGATGTTAGATGGATACAGTTTGTAGGGAAAGAGAAAAGGTGGGCGGTTTCGTGTGGGTTGTTTCCGCATGCTGGCGAGATGTCGGCGATATCAATGCTAGACGCAGCTCCATAGCTGTTAAGTCTGCTCCACCAACCGCATCCCACTCATTTCCCGCAGGAGGTCTGCTTCGCTCTTGCCTATAAGTGGTAGACGCACACCCAGCACGATGTTGTCGTGACATCCGTCATTGGCGGTGATGACAGCCTCGCGTTTCAAGTTGATGATTGATGCCCTCCAGGCAAGGCACATTGATCAGCAGTGTTTTTTATTCGAAGTAATCCATAAATAATATATTCTTGTTGTTTTTGCTCTGCCGCTAGTACCTTTTTATATGTATATTTCACTCCAAAATTGCTGGTGGCATATGTACCTGCAGGAGCCGTTTAAACAGCAGCATGCTGGCCTCTTTCACCTGGAGCAATACGACATCATAGGACAGGCTGTATCCAAGGAGAATAGGAAGCTGTCAAACGTGGCATCCAGCATCTAAAAGTGATTCGACAGTCGGAATTTTAGCTCCATCGACTTTTATGTTCATTTCGAGATTCACTTTCCTTGTCCAGTTGATGAGAAGTGTGACCGTTAACTTAACAGC